TTTGGGGAACACCTTTGTTTGATTTATATAGTTTTATAATAATTTTTTCCCTGATTGTTTAGGGTGATAGATCTTGAGCTATATATATATTTCTGAATTTTTAAATGCTCATTACCAATGTTCATCGATTGTTATATAGGCCAGCCTTTTCTTTTAGTCATGCGAAGGGTACATGTTAAATTACTTACGCTGAACAAATTTGTGTAAAGCAGAAATATCATTTCTCAGTCAAGAGTTCATATTTATAAAATGAATACCTTTATGAACCTAGAACCCTGGTTCTGAAAAGAAAATGTTTTGCTTCTTCTAAAATCGTGTGCTAATAACAAAAACCTTTTTCATAGTGCTTTTTTGCACTCCCGAAGTGTTTACATTAATGAGCAGGCCTTTGTTAAAAGGGACCAACTATTTTAATGTCTGCATTTCTAAAATCAAATGAAAATGTAAAATTGGACTAGTTGTGTCAGTTTCTAAACTCTTACTTGAGAAAAAGTAATATAAGGAAATCCATTCATACTAAAATTAGGATTTTAAAAAAAACTTCTTTAAATATCAACCCATTTTTACAGCATTCAAAAACCTTTAGCCAATATTATTGTCGGACTTTTATGGAAACCAAAGATTGCTAGTGGAAAAAAATTGAATAATAGCCAAAGCTGAGAAATGATTTGTCACAAATTATTTCCCTAGTGATCTTTGCAAGGAAAAATTAATAACAAGCAGTACTTACTTACATATCTTCATTTTAAAAACAGTTTTCAGAATATTTACTTTATTCTTCTATTTTAGACTATCAGAGAACAAATTGCCCTTTGACCTCCTGTTGGTCAGAAATTATCATACTACACTCCCATTCCGTGCAAGTTCGAGTGAATGCTATAAAATTTCAAACCTGTGGCCCTGGTGTCCTTGTAGCCAAGTCCTGTTGGGATCTTGTGATGAACAACCCTTTGGCAGTTCAGCCTGATGCGCTCATTATGCAGTGAGTTAGTGTGAGATAGCCAGACTGTCTCATGACGACCATGTGGACCATTTCTGCCATTTGCAGCTGTGTACCTTTACTAAACGGTCATTCTGCGTACAGTTCACTCTTAGCTAGTTTAGTCCATGATACTGTACTCCCAAGGGCATCTCCAGCTGCTGTGTTCTCTTATTTAAAGCAGTATTGTCTGATCGAAAATGTGTGACCCTTCATTTATGGATACTGACTATGTAATGCAGTGCTACCCAATATTTTCAATAAAGGAATTTATGCATTCAGAGCGATGTCTTTCCTGACCGTTTGTTCACCTGGTGTTTATTGGGTTCCACATACCTCAGTGATGTTGCCAAATAAGTTCCAGACAACTGCAAGAAAGCAAATCACACGAATGCTTTGGTTTCCTGGTGCATATAACAGTTATGTTTCCACTATTGTGTAGTCTATTAAGAGGGCAATGACATACATTATCATTAGAACAATATACACATTGATTTCAAAAATACTTTATTGCTAAAAATGATGATTGTCTGAGCTATTAGAAAAACAGTATTGATAGACTCGCTTGCTGCGGGGTTGCCACAAATCTTCAATTTGGAACAAAAAAGCGCTTTTTGCAAAGCACAATCTACATTGAGGCACGCTATGGCAAGGCTTGGCTGTACTAGACTGTTCAGTTTGGGAGACAATGATGAGACATCCTAGAGAAGAAAGGTCCAGCACTTGGGCTGTTTTCAGGGCCACCTGGGAAACTCCCTCTTACTCCCTGCAGGCACCTTTCTGTGTCTCACCAGTTCACGGAAACTGCTCCCATTACAGTTCCTGGAGACAACTCTGGACTTTGTCTACCAGTTTCTTCTCTGTTCCTAATCCTTTTATGTATCCTGCAAATACTGACCCTTTTAACATCTGACTCAATCTGCTTCCTAATTCCTGAGCGACACCTTACTCTCTAATTTTTTATTTTTGGTTCCGAGGATCAAACTCGGGTCCTTGCGCTTGCACAGCAGGCAGCGAAACTACTGAGCTAAATCCCCGGCCCCTAACTCTGATAAATTTTCTGCCACCTACCCCCAAGCAATAGTCATGGCTTCTAAATTCCTCTTTATAAGTCCACATCAAAGGACTGGAGTGGGAAGAAGCAACCGAGTGTTTCTTCAGACTCTGTTGAAAATGATTAAGGCATATCCCCGTGCTAGAAACCACAAGGGACAGCCTGAACTAGTATGAGAAGTATGACTGCCCTCAATTTTATTTCCCTTCCCTTAGTTTTTCAAAAGTGTTAGAGACATACGAAACAAGATTAAGAAAAGAACTACTCTCCTTTTGAGGAAGGCATTGAAAATCTCTCAAAGCTTACATGCCTCAACTGTGTTTACCAGCTGAATCAGAAGAAAGATGAGAGAAAGCCAAGGAAGTCAAAAGGCAAGGGAAGTACCAGAAAACCCAGGATGAGAGCCACACTCACCCCCTGTGCAAGTAGCAGAAGTGTCTGCCGCCTCCTTCTGTCACTCAGGACATACTCTTCTTTCTGTTCAGGGGAAGCCTTCACCCCAAATGTCACATCCTCTGCAGCCACTGCCTTGCCTACGCACTTTTGTGCACAGTGACCCCTAGCAGGAAGTGTCTTTGCTAAGAAAATTGAGCTTCCCAATTCACACCAAACTCAATGTCTTATTCCCTTATCTCCTGTTTCAAAATAAAATAAAACTCAGGCTTCCTTGATCTGGTCAGTCAAGCTCTAGAGATGGTGTTTCTTGATAGACTTTCTGTGGAGACCTTTACTTTTACATCAGCACCGCCCAATAGAACATTCTTCACTGATGGAACGTTCCACATGTTCCATGGATGTTTGTTGCTCTTTATGACACCTCTAGGTACCATACTTAGGTTGAGCACTTGGAATGTATCTTGGGTAACTGAAGGCTGGATTTAGCTGAAGGGTACTTTATTAAATTTTAACTTACTTCAGTTTACATAGCACATGTGGCCAGTGGCTACCATATTGAAGAGCACGGCTCTAGATCAAGATGTCAGTGCCAAGGCATCATCAGATTATGAGTCCCTAACCAGCAGAGAACTTCAGGAACTTTGATGGCCTTCTGCCACTATAGACCTTGACACAGTGTGGTGCCACCTGAGATTTTAATGGACCTCCTAGTCTTTAGGCCCTCGGTTTATAAAGCAACTAGAAAGCAGAGTTCCCTGCTGACCCCCATCTCTAATCAAAGATAATGAAAGCCTCTCCTAGTGCCTATGCTGGTGATGGCGAACCATTCAGAGCATTCAGTGACAACAGCCGGCTGCGGCACACGTGCCATAGGTTTGCCACCACTGGCACAGGCCTTGCCTCACACTGTTTCCTGGTGTAGCCATCATATGTGTTTTGTTCCTGTCCTGGACACTGCACTACTCCTGGCAACTCCATAGGGATGCTGCGTCCCTTGTACCAGGCACTCATCCACAGTGCGTGACGGAGCCCAGGAGAGAAGAACAACTCACCCCATGCACAGAGCTGTGCTTTCTATCTGACTGTCAAGAACAATGGGCCCCAAGAGGGCTTCACACAGCACTGACCGAGGACCAGCTGTCCATCCCGACTTTGCCCACTGTGACGGGCACTCAGCCTGTGTGCACATGCAGCGTTCTGAGGACCAGCCTGTTGGAATGGAGGCCACGGGAGAGACCACTAGACAAGATGAGTTGTGTCCTGTTGGACCCATCAACAGGGGCCCAGCCTTTGTTCAACCTCCCCACTTAGGGTACTAAAAGGTAACCTTGGTCTAGCTTGCTGTCACTCCCGAGAACACTAAGCCAGGGGCACTTTTCTTTCTTCCCTCCTTCCTCCTTTTCTTCCTCCCTCCCTCCCTCCTTTCTTCCCTTTTCTATTACAAACAGTTCCTAGTGAACATCTGTGTGCTTAGAACTCAGTACTCTTTTTTTTTTTTTTAAGAGGATAATTTTTATCAGTGAACCAAAGAGTGTGTGTGCTTTTTATTTAAAAGTTAACTGTTAGGGTCAGGGAAGGAGCTCAGTGGTTCCAGCGCCTGTCTTGCAAGTGCAAGGTCCTGCGTTCAATCCCTGGTACCAAAACAAAAAGGTAACTGTTAGGCAGGCATGGTGGTGCATGCCTCTAATCCTAGCACTGCGGAGGCTGAGGCAGGAAAACTGCCATGCGTTTGAGGCTACACAGTGAGGGCAAGGCCAGCCTACACTACAAAAAAAATTAAATAATTATTCCTTCTCAAAAGTTATACAGTACTGGGCCGGGGATTTAGCTCAGTGGTTCCGCTGCCTGCCTCGAAAGTGCAAGGACCTGATTTCGATTCCGAGTACCAAAAAGAAAAAGTTACACAGTACTAGTCTATACCACCAGGTCACCTTGGCTACCTCACACCCTCAGCCACACTGCTTCTGTCCAGCTCATTTTTGCTCAAATGATGTATCTTATTTTCATTTTAATTCTTGAATTATGAATGAAGTTTAACCCCTTTCTATATGTATTGCCCATCTGTCCTTTTGTGTTTTTCTAAATAGGCTATCCATATCCTTTGTCCATTTTCCTAGTGTTCATTGTCTTCAAAGTTAGCCCTTTGTAATACATTGTAAAGATTTTGCTTTATATATATTATATAGTATAGATTAAGCTATATCTCTGCCCCACCTGGACCATAATTTTTTACATCAAGGTAAATTTATTCTGTGTGAGTTTTAGTTCTCACTCAAGTCTCTATTAACAGCACCTGTCACCTCACCTAAATGATGTCTCCCTCTGGCTCATTCTGTGCTGAGTCACGCCCTCCTCAGACTTCAGGACACTTAGAAATGACTGCCTCAAAATCCATTTCACTTTCCGCAGGTCTCTAGTCACTTTCAGGCAGGACAGCATTTTCAGGAAAGGTCACAAGGCAAGAACTGAATGGTCACCTGAAGCAACATCCCCAGTGAGGAAGCCAGGGCCAGGCCAGGTTGACAACAGATCTCTAGCTGCTCTGCAGCACCTCGCACAGTGCCTTGGTGAGGAGCAATGTGTTTGTTAACAGTGCCAGAGAGGAGGAGGAGGAGGAGGAAGAGATGAACAGGTGACATTTAACTAGCACGACTGCCTCTTTACTAGCACGACTGCCTTTTTTTAGTATGCTGTGTCTTGATATTTCAAAATAAAAATGGTACAATTCTGATCTGCTGAGAGATGAGGAGCTGTTTCCCCAGGAGGCTGGGTAACGAAGGTTAGAGCCAGGATGTCTTGAGATGGAACTGGCCCCGGAGCTGGCCTCTTAGCCACGGCAGGGCGCTGGCATGTCCACTCTTCAGTCTCTCCTCCTCCTGGCACCCACACTCGGCTTCCGCGCTGAGGCGCCAGCATCCACGGCCCTCCTCTTAGGAGAGGAGGCTCACTGCCGGGAGCTCCTCTTAGGCTGCCCACGTCCCACTCACACTCAACCCAGGAGCTGGCACGGCGCATGGCACCCAGGAGGCACTGCACAAACATGGGAAGTACGCAAGGGAAGGACGTGAGCCTCAGAGGAGTTAGGGCATCTGTCCAACGTTCCACAGCGGAGGAGGAGAGCTGGGACCAGAGCACAGGGTTAGGATTCCCAACTCTACCCGTCCCGTCCCCTCACACAATGCTGAATCACAGACTTCTAAGCATCGTCCTTGAAATGCACTATTGGCACGCCGGAAGGAAGGGCCCTGTAGTTCCCGGAGTCCTGCCCTTTAGGTAACAAAAGTCTGGGGACAGCCCCGGCCTTGCCCTGGCTTCCAAAGTGATTGCATCATCTGCACGCCCATCCCTGGGCCCACTCAACATCTGGTAACCTTAGACTTAGTTTTCGCCAGTCTCAGGAATGCGTATTATCTTATTGCTTTAATTTGCATTTCTCTAAGTACTAGTGAAGATGAGACTATTTTAGTCTCAATGGCTTTTGTGAGATTTCTTCATGTCCTCTGTGCTTGTTTCAGTCTATCTGCTTTATCTTGGTGTCCTTGCCCTAAGAAGAAAAGGTATTAGTCAGTCTGTTAACTGTATTTACTTCTGCGGAGAATAAATCATCATGATATCAGAGCCTCCAGCCCTACAAGGGTATTTTCTCAAGTCTCAAACTTGCAGTATCTAGAGAGAGGAATGAGAAAAAATTCACGTCTGTTTTGCTTTGAAGATTTGGGTGCGTATTTGCACTTGTTCATTTGGTTATGTGAGTTTTTTAGAAGCACCATCAAGAAGCTCAATTGGGGGCTGGGGATTTAGCTCAGTGGTTTCACTGCCTACTGTGCAAGAGCAAGGACCCGAGTTCAATCCCCAGTACTAAAAAAAAAAAAAAAAAAAAAAAAAGGGCCGGGGATTTAGCTCAGTGCACCTGCCTAGCAAGTGCAAGGTCCTGAGTTCAACGCCCAGTACCAAAAAAAAAAAAAAAGCAGCTCAATTGGAAGCACAGTGACATATCGAACATTTCGGTTATTATTCTACACATTTTACGTATATTATCTCCCTCTCCCTCTTTAGGATTAGTTGTCTGGTCATGAGATGGGGACCACTACTCCTAAATGTAGACACTGGGTAGAGGGAAGCTGAGGTGGGTGCCCAGAAACAATCAGGAACTGATGGGTCTCCGGGGCAGGCAGTGAAGATGCGAGAGTGACTGAAAGAGCTGAAAGAAAGGCTAAGGCCAGAATGACCAGAAACTCAGGAAATTGTGAAACGCTCTGGGACAGGCGTTTGCAAAGATGTGAAGACTCACTGAAGTTCGGCTTTTCAGGGAATCTGGGTGAAGATAGCATTAGGATTTCTTTCACCAGGGGAGTGGTTTATGTCAGAGAGGAACAGAGGCAAAAAGCAGTGGAACCCAGTGTTCGAGAAGGCATGAGACATGGATTTAGTCTTCAGAGTTCGCGGCGGGGCTCTGGCAGCTCTCCGGAGTGAGGTGCTGATGGGAAATAATCTAGAAGCTGAAAGATGAGGGAACTGTGCTTTAGGCTGCTGGATGAGACTCAAAAGCAGGGAGATAGTAGATACAGAGTGTCCCAGAACTGGCAGATAGAAGCTGCCAATCTTGCTGCGAAGTCTCAGCATGTTGAGGGGCGGAAAGAGCAAGCAAATTTTTCTTACTGAGCCTTGAGGGACTCGATGCCCTTGGAGGAGAGGCAGGTTTGAGTTACGAGAAGATGCAGTTGGCAATGAGGGGACACAGGATGGAGATGAGACCACTTACAGTGAAAATGTGGTTTCTGCAGTGGAAAGAGTTCCAAAGGAGGTCAGTGGCAGGAAAAAGTTTGGAGAAAAGAAGCAGAGGAGAGTTTGGAGAAACAGACTCGTTTACATTGAGAGTAACGCTGCAGAGGAGACCTAGCAGCGTACAGATTATGAAGAATCATGCAGGTATGGATTCGACAGGAAGAGTGACACCATCTTCGAGATGTGGAGGCGTCCTGGCTTACGCAGTAGCTGTTTCAGGGAAACAGGAAATGCCTCTGGTACTGCTGGAAGGGCTTCAGAACGGATCCCTCTGCCGTCCACCAAGTAACTTACCCTGAGCAGGCTGACTCACCTTCCTGTGCCCCGTTTTCTGTTTTAAAAATAGGGTAACAATATCCTGTTCTCCAGATATTTATGAGAATCAAATAAACATATATATATACATATATATAAAAATATGCCTTAGAAAATTATAAAATGATGAAGATGAATTAGAATTATTGTGGTACTGGTCATATCAAACTTTGTTTATGCTGAATTCTTTATGAAGAAAATAGCATTGAAGTACAATGTTGTTCTTGATTTAAAAGAAAAGAATTACTGTCAATGCTTTGAGGACCAGGCTTTTAAAAATGTGTTACAAAAGAAAGCAGAAGTATCTGTATTGTATCCACGGGACAGGTAAAGAAAAAAATTTATGAGGGAAGGAATGGGGAAGTTGTTTTCTTTGGTCAACTTCTGCGTCACCACCTACACAACCTGCATTGAAGAACAATAGGCCTGGGCTTCTCCACATCCTTCAGCGAAGGACCAAAGCCACAGATCAAAAGACACAAGGTGCAAGTCCAGGTCACCTGCCCATATTTGTTCAGAGAGCTCTGAGAGAGGCCGCTTAGTAATTAGAAACCGGAAGTGTCTCTTTTCCCGCACACATAGCCACTCCTCAGTCCCCTTTCTTTGCCCAGAAATTGCACACCCTTTCCAACAGACAGAAGCCAGTGTATGTATGGAAATAGTTAATGCCAGGCAACAGCATAGCCTGAACAATTTCCTTTTTCTTAATCCAGACAGAAACATGTTCATGCCTATTTCTTTTACCTTCAGCATTGGTAAGAATATTTCACAACTGCCTCAATATTCTTGAGGCAATGGTGAAATAGCAAAAAGTTATTCCTGTTTACTAAATATAAGCCAAGGAAAGTTTTCATATTTATTTTCAGTTAATTTCTATTTAGGATGTAGAAAAAGGAATGCTTCCTGCTAAGGTGATCTTTTAATCAGATTAGAAGAAACTCAGAAACACACTTTCTACATCCTCACTAAAACAGAAAAACAAAACTGCATCAGACACGTGGCCCTAGCAGCTCAATAGTCCACCTCTGCCAGAAATACCAAAAGATTTGCTAGAAAATACCCTACCTCTTCTGGCATTATGATTGCATAGCTGAAAAATGTATAGAATGAGATTATTTATGACACAGAGAATTAGTAAAGGAAATGAAGTTTATATGGAATTCTGAATTTAAAAAAATCTGTTTGGACGTTTCCCTTATGACAAAAGTAATACATTTTCATTGATGAAAATATAAAATACACAGATAAACAAGAAAAGGAAAACATCAAGCCATATTTTATCCATTTAGAGATCACAGTGGTAATATATTCTTTCAGAAATGTTCTTACCAATCCTTATGTATATTCATCAAACATGTCATTACACTAACACACTGCCCTGTAACCTCTTTAACAGTTCAGGGGCTCGGAGCACAGGCCTCCTTTCCACAGCTGGAGCTCAGGTTCCAGCTCTGTGCTGGCTTAAGGAGAACAGCACTGAGCGAGTTAGAGAATCACCCTGCTGATGGGGATGGAGGCTTCAAGCTAGGAGTGACAGGATTTAGAGCTGCAAAGATTTCCTTGCCATTAACCAAGACCAGAAGTGTGTGAATAAAGAAACTTGTAGTTGGGAGATCATCACTTTAAATTGATTGGACACTTGAGTTGGAAATACCAAGTCTGCAGTTGGACTTCGATTCGGAGAAAGGTATGACTTGAATTCTAAGTGCAGAAGTAGACAGCATTTACACATTGAGAGCTTTGAGACTGGACACGATCAAGGAAAGAAAGGTACAGAAGACCAGGGACTAAGCCCTGGGGCATTGCAATGCTTAGAATTTGCAGGGGAAAATAGAAAGAAATGGAAGAAAGGGCTTGGGAGAAAGAAAGAAAAGCAAAGGAATGCAGTGACCTGAAAATAAAGAAGAGGCATCAAGAGGGGAGTGAATAAGAAAACATGCCAACTGCTGCTGCTAGGTGAGAAACGTGAGGCCACTGGACAAGTGGACTTGACATGTCAATCATGGAGAACCAAGACACACACACAGAACAGCACCCAACGCCTGTACCCGGGACCAATCAGAAAATAATATCTTTAGTTCTTCTCAATCAATCAGGTTTCTGATAGGACAGCCTAGATCTGACGTCAGAATGGGGGCTATAAAAGGTGGTGGCCATTGGCCTTATGGCCATTGTGTGCTCTCTCTCACTTTAGGGGCCTGTTCTCATCCTACAGAGCGTACTTCTTTGCCTACTTTATATGGCCGGGCCTCACTCTGCAGAGTGTATTTCTTTTCCTACCTTTAATATTAAAGTGTAAACCCTGCTATCTTTTGCACTTATCTTGTCCAATTCTTTGTTCTGGACAAGAACCTGGAAAAGGTCTCTAGAAGGAGTCCCCAGAACCTGGCTGAGAACTGACCATTGTTTTCAGTGATGTGATCATTTACAGTCTCCAAGAGGAATTTGGGTGAAGGTGTAGAAGAACAGTAGGTCAAGCAGGAACTGGAGAAAGGGAGCTGGAGAGAAGTAGCAGGGACACTTCTTGCAAGGAGTTTTCCTACCAAGGCAACAAATACTTGGAATAGATGCTAGTGGGGAAAGCAGGCTAATTTTAAAAAAATCGTTTTAAGGTGGGAGAAGTAGCATGCGTGCAGGTGGATAGTAATGATCTAGTGAAGAGAATAAAACTGGCGATAGAGGACATAACAAAGAAATCTGCAGTGCTTTTCATGCCTGGGCCAGAGCGGGACGAGATCTAGCATGTTGTGGTGGAACCTGCTTTGGTGTGAGCAGTTTATGTTACCAACAGTCAGGAAGGCCAAGTTTATCAGTCACCGTTCTGGAGGCAACTGTTCTCTGGTTGCTTCAGTTTCCTCATTGTGTCCTTTCCCCTTGTTCCTGCCCAATGCACAGGCAGTATCAGTCCCAGGCTATCCTCATTCCCAGTGCCCTAACCTTCGTGAAACTCTTCACTTCCCATCGCTTGACCTCCCCATCCTCACTCCTGAGATTCTTCCTCGAAGGCACCAGGAACGCAGAGGGTGTAACTGCAGTTGTAAGTATGAGAATTACTTTGTCTGCACCAATGGTATTGGAGGCTATTATGCAGAGGAACTGGGCAGTTTGACAGAGAAAAATGCCACTCCATTATTGATTTCCAATACATCTGTATTTATATCTGTTGACTATACTTTTTCCTTTAGTGAGTTACTTTCATATCAGCTGTTTTTTTTGTTCTAAACTGGGCTTTCAATTTAAATTGTTTTGTAAAAGTCTTCCTATATTAACATTAGTAATCCTATTTCCTGTGTATGTTGCAAACATATTTATCCAAATTTTCATCTGTCAGTGCAGTTTTGGGAACGTGTACTTTTTTGTTTGTTTTTGAGACAGGGTCTCGCTATGTAGCCCACGCTGGCTTTGAACTCTTGGGAATCCTTTCTCAGTCTCCCGAGTGCTGGG